GCAACAGAAAGCAACTTGCCATTAGTCAAATCAACCTAGGGTGATGAAACATTGTAAATACTATATATAGGAATATTAAATCGGAAAACAAAACAAAACAAAACAAAAACTGCCAGATCTCATGAGAACTGGTACAAGGAACTGAAAATCTGTAAGAGAATGACTCTTTTCTGACACTAGGAAAATGGGATTGTTTTCTCTATCCCTGAAAAACTGAATTAGTTCTGTCTCAGGGCTCTTATGGGCTCTTGGTGACTCTGCAGCTCTCTCTTTTCTGAAAACCAGCTTTTTCTGCTTCAAATGTCTCATTTCCTTGTGTCTTTGGCTTTGCATTGTTTTGACTTTAGCTCAGCAACTTCTAGCTAATTAGTTCACTGTAAGAGGATCAAATAGCTATGGGAGGGAGGTTGTGTGAGTGTGTGAAAGTGATTTCTAGAGGAAGAGGGGGCAATGGGCTGGCAAACTTTTTTCCACTATGCATTGTCATTCCAAAGTCATGATATGTATTTAAAATTTTGACCTCTAACTGAAATGAGGCAGAGAGTTTGTATGTAATCCAGAAAAATCAGAAACTAATTCAGAGGGCCAGAATAAACTAGGGACTATGAGCAGAGGGAAGAACAATATTTCTTCTGAGTTCTGTCTTGCTAGCATAGCAAACACATTTGTTGATAAAAGACATTTTTTTTTCAATAAAATGCCAAAAGTAATAAATGAAAAAACTCTTCCCAGTACCTCTATTAAGTAACTTTGGCAGTGAAGAAAAGGCAATTTAGACGAGATTTTTAAAAAGTCCTTAACTACAAAAAAAAAAAAACAAAAAAAAAACCTTTATATAAGGTTAATATAAAAAGACTGATCCAGACAGTTAGAAAGGAAAACCATGCCTTTTAAGGAGTATGCTTACCACATTGCAGAAGGAACTTATTTCTGTGAAACTTCGGTGTCTAATTATTTCCCTGATAATTATATTTTATTGGAATTAATAAAGGTTTCTTTTTATAAGACCATGTTAAAAGTGTATTTTTTCCAAAATAGAGGCCAATATATGGCACATATGATTATATGATATGGTTAATATCCACTATCTGGTTAGTTCAGTTAATGATAAAAACAACTTGATCATTATCAAAATAATGATTATGTCACCAATGACCATTTTCTTCAGCCTGAGACAAAAGCAAATAAAATGAATGTTTCAACTATCAACAATTAACTTTGGGAACCAGATCTTTATGCCTCCTGATGTGATATGATAAAAAGTATGTAGCACACCTATGGAATTCTTACAACAAAATATTTAACAGACCTATAGATCTTATTTCTAGTTTTCAGGAAATACAGAAGATAGAAGAACAAATTACTCAAATCACCATGATGAAACAGATACAGATACTCCTAGACTTATGATGGAGTTATGTGCCAATAAACCCACTGTAAACTGAAAATGCATTTAATACACCTAACCTACTGAACTTCATAGCTTACCTTAAACATGCTGAGAACACTTACATTAGCCTACAGTTGGGTAAATTCATCTGTCACAAAGCCTGTTTTATAATAAAGTGTTGAATGTCTCAGGTAATTTATTGAATACTATATTGAATGTGAAAAACAGAATGTCTTACTGCTGCTGCCCAGCACGGCCAGAGAGTATTGCACATACCATAGCATATCCCTAGCCCAGGAAAAGACCAAAATTCAAAACTGCAAGTACGGTTTCTACTGAATGTGTATTGCTTTCACACCATTGTAAAGTCAAAAAAAAGTCCAACCATTGTAAGTTGGGAACCATCAGTACTTACAGAAGGTGGGATGTTTTAAGGATAACTGACCTGGTATTTTCTAACACGTCAGTGTCATGGAAAAAGAGTCTATGACAGCTATGGTAGATTAAAAGTATCTAGAGATCTCACAAATAAATAGAATGTGTAATCCTTGTTTAAACAACTTTAGAAGACATTTTGGGAATAGTCAGAAAAACATGAGTATGGACCAAGTGTTAGATGATATTGGGAAATAGTTACTTTTTAAAAGGGTGATATTGATAATGATATTATGGTTATGTAGGAGTATGTCTTCTTTAGAACTGTAAAGTGAATCATTTTGAAATGAAATGTCAAGAAGTCTATAATTTATTTTGAAATGTTTTAGTGAAAAATAGGTGATAAAAATATGACAAAATATTAAAAATTGTTAACTCTAGAGTTTGGATATGTGATCATTATGCTATTTTCAATAAGTTTGAACATTTTCATTGTAAAGAATTCTTTAAAAGAATCCAAAATTTTATAAGCTATTAAATCCTAATTAGAAAATCAGATAAGAAAATATTGAGATCAGATAAATGCAGAGACTATTAGTTTCATTTTCATTCTTTCTGTCAATGAACCTATAATCTTTCATATTGTTGAGTAAGCTCATTACAAATAGCTTACTATTTGTAATGTAATAGTAAGAACATTACGAATAGCTCTGGGTTCATATTCTTTCCTTTCTTCATCAGTGTGCATTACTTTTTTACTCGAAATTCCACTTTCATTAAATATTTTATCTTCAACTTCACAAAAATGGAAGGGAAAACATGGCAGATATCCTAAAATCTGTTAAAGTTAGTGTTCTGTGAACATAAATGTGCATTATTATTTTGTTTACTGAAGCACTCGACCATGTCATTGGTGGTTTTACAATCTGAAAATAAGCATTTTGGAAAGAAATCCTGGTTGAATTCATGGAATTCTTATTCAGTTCTATTGCAAGGAGGCTTCTGAGACTTGAGTTCAAGGCTTTCATATCTTGTTATTATCAGAGCTTTCTGGTCACAGGTTTTCCTGATGGCAGTTTGACTGAGTTGCCCACTTTCCATCGTTGATATAATTTGGTCCATGTTTTTAATAGAATGGAAGTCATTTGGAAATTGTTATGTGAGATACTACCTTGATGCAACAGTGACCTCTAAGTACTATGCATGCTCTGTCAGAGACCATAAAACAGAAAGACTTATGGACCAAATTAAAATATGCAAATCACACAATTTATTGAAACAATTGAAAACACACAGTGAGGAGCAAGGGGCAAGAGGCGGAGTAGGTTCACACACACAAGTGGGTAGAAGAATCACACTGGTTGAATCCTGGGGTCAGCAATGGTCTTGTCTCTCTCTGCTTATCAGCCTTTCCTACTGATGGTGTGCTTGTAAGACCAGAACTGAGGTCCAAACAAGAAGAAGCAGAGACAGAAGGGGCCCCAGGCTAATGGCACAAAATTGCGCTATTGCAGAGATGCGTGGACAAGTGCACCTACCTGGCCATAGCTATAGCTTGCCAGTAAACTTGCTAAATAGTCATGCGTTTTATTTGCATTTGTAGGTAGAGCACATGTGGGGCCTGTATGGAACTGTACTTCCCAATGGATGATCAGTTTAGGAAATGACATAGCTGTCAGCTATGTATAATGATTATGACTTGGTCCTTCTATTCCTTTCTATCTCTCAGCAGACACTTGTTTTTTTCCCCATTATATATTGCATTTATTCCATCCTTAACATATCTTATAGGTTACTAATTACTCCATAGTCAACACACCTTTGGAATTCTGCCTGTGTCTCTCAAGTGATTTGCTTACTCATTATCTGAAGTTAACATAGTCATACAGGTTTTGCTGCTATCTTCAAGCTACTAGCCTATGACTATTGTGCTTGACACTTCTAATGAGTTTCAGTCATCTCATTTGTTTGACTGTGATACCCCTAATGGATGGCTGAACCTATCTAAACTTAAATTTCCACATCTGTAAAATGAAGTAGAGGTAGGAAATTCTGGAGACTCAAACGTTTTGTCAACTATCAACCTTGTGTAATTCTCATGAGGTTTAATAATGTAGAAAACGTAAGAGTAAAAAGTCTCTGTTTTCCACATTGGTGAATTAGTTGTGAATATAGAGGATGTTACACTTATCACTTTAGATTAAGTAATGTTTGTCATCATGGCAATGATATCTTCCATTGCACCAAACTGACTGTTAAAATGCTTTGAGTTAGGCCGGGCGCGGTGGCTCAAGCCTGTAATCCCAGCACTTTGGGAGGCCGAGACGGGCGGATCACGAGGTCAGGAGATCGAGACCATCCTGGCTAACACAGTGAAACCCTATCTCTACTAAAAAATACAAAAAAATAGCCGGGCGAGGTGACGGGCGTCTGTAGTCCCAGCTACTCGGGAGGCTGAGGCAGGAGAATGGCGTGAACCCGGGAGGCGGAGCTTGCAGTGAGCTGAGATCCGGCCACTGCACTCCAGCCTGGGTGACAGAGCAAGACTCCGTCTCAAAAAAAAAAAAAAAAAAAATGCTTTGAGTTAAATTATGTTGGTTGAGGCCCAAAGTAACCTTATAAGGTAAATTACAGAAGACAATGATGCCACTTTACAACTAAGGACATTAACAAGCGAGATTAAACAGTATTGCCCCAAGAGCCACATGTGCTAATTTCAGGACACTCACTGGACCATGTCCTCACAAATATCTGTTACAAGGGGAACTAATTCACAGCTGGTTCTATTTTTCACATTCATTTTCTGGCCCTGATTCACATTCACCAAACAAACATCCAACCTAGAACTTTATTATTGGTTGAATACTCAATATAGTCAGGCCATCCAGGATGCCAGGATACTATCTATCTAAACACAATTTTTCAGTCAATATTACTACACAGAATCCTAATAAACTATAAGTTCCATGGAAAAAGATATCAAATCTGTGGAATTTATTATTTTACCCTCAGTGATTTGCACCATGCCTGGCGCATTGTTAGTATGAAAAGGGCACTTTGTTGAATAAAATGAATTAATTATAGATACAATAATGAGTAAAATAAAACAAAGCCTGACACAGAAGGCAAGATTTGACCTTTTAAAAGCGTATCTGGCATGTCAACATAGAAACTAAGCTATTCTGTAGTGGGGTGTCTGATGTTTTCTTCCCCTCAGACTTGAACTCCCTTTTCACTATCTGCTTGGTTGAGGAGGGTCTCTTATGGCTATCCTGGTACCTAGAGGTGGTTGTTTCTGTTCAGGACTGGCATATCCTGCCACGACCTGAAGAGTGATAAGTGACAGTGATAAGTGACATCTGGTGCCATGACTACGAAGATCTTGAGACTCTGAAGTGTAGCCAAAACCCATGGTGCTCCAAGCCAATGTGGAGAGAACATCTTGATCTCTTTTTAGAATCTTATTTTTCTGTATAGCAACCAAATGCCATAAAAACTCACAGATACAGCTCCTTTATAATAGTTTTCCACATTCCCCAGAATACATGATATGGCTAAACCAGAATATACCTTTGATTTTTTCAAATGCCATGCTGTTCTCAAAACCCCTCCTCTGTCCAAGCTTCTTAGGGATTCAACTCTTCTTTTGGCAAAAGTTCTCTCCCTTGACTCTGCTTTCTCTTCTATACTTAGATTTCTAGCCCCTCATTCCATCGGTTCTTAAGCTTACATCCTTGTAGGGGAAATAATGGAAGCCTTCTCCTTTTATTCCCTCCTCTACTTTCTCCTACCCACAAATAGCCCACTCATCACAATAATTTGGAAAAATTGTTCATGCTTTTGACTGATCAATAGCAAAAGACA